ATTAGGTATTTTTTTTTGAGAGTTTCTTAAATAAAATTGGTTTACTAATTTATGAATGATTTTTAGGTTCTTTACTGAATAGTAATAGAAAAATCAAATCTAATCTAATGTGTTGATTGATGTTTAATATTCAAATCAACAGTATTACAAGTTCTGATAATGTTAAGATAAAAGGACTTGAATTGTTAGATAATTAGCCTTCAATTAGATTCTTTTCAAATACAGATAAATTTTCTTCTGATAAAATCCATTAATTTTATATGAATTTATAAAATATTAAGAAATCAAATATTACTGATAGTGAATTATTTCTTAGCAAATTTCTTAAACCATCATATAATAATATAATTATTTTAATCAAAATGCTTAATTTGATGATTAATACTGCAATATGATTTATATTATATTTAATTTTAGGAAGTTATTTGATAAAGATTCAGAAAATGGTATAACAATTTAAATCAAAATGAATCAATTTAGAAGATGTTGAATTGGTTCTAAAATCTTTAGTTTATTGATATCTTTGTAACATATAAAAAATTCATATATTTTGATTAAATTTATTACAAATGATGATACAGTTGATTGTTATCCTAGTCAAGTTTAATTTTATTTTACTTATAAGATCAATTTGTTATCTAAACAAGCTAAACATTTTTTAGTATATATTTATTGGTATAAATCTACAATTTTTTCAAATATGTAATATTATTTTAGTGAAGAAGAAACATGTAATATCAAATTATAAAATACTAAATTTTATTTAGAAAGTTATGATTATATAATATTAGTTCATTATATTTTAAGTCAATTTATACTGATTAACTATCAAATTTCAGCTTAGCGAAATGCAAAAAGAATATTTAGCTGTTAATTCTATAAAATATCAGTTATATTTTCTTTTAAATTTTATTTTATTTTGAAATATGTTAGTTGATTTTTAATGTATTATCAATCAGATATAAATTAGACGTCAATTAGTTATAAATAAGATAAATCAAATTTTGGCTAATTATTAGTCAATTTCTGATATATATAAATTAAATAAACTGATTTTTGATAATTTGCTGATTTTAAGCTGATTTTTTGTATATCTAATTTTTTTGATTTTAATCAGTATAATTAGAAAAAGTAATGGTTAAAATTTTGTTTTAAAAAGAATATCAATAGTTAGAATGATAATTAGGTTTAAAAGTAAAAGAATTATGAGAAGAGATTTTCAATTTTTAATAATATTTTTGTATTAGATAGTTAGAATTCTAAAAATGACTCACATAAACTCATATATTTGACTCGCATAATTATGCATAATTGTAAATTTTAGTTACACATAATAAATAAGTACTTTAAATTAAAGGTATGTAGGATAATTTTGACTTAAAACTCAACTCAACTTGACTCATTAAGAACATTATAGATGGTAAAGATAATAAGACTGAATTTTATAGTAAAACAGATCTTTGTGAAGAAAGAGGATTAAAAAAATAAAAAGTATTTAAATTTCCTAGTAAAATAAATATTAAAATTTAGTTTAAAATATTTAAAACTTAAATAATAGAACTTATAATATTCTAATTTAGATTGCTTTCTTTTTTTTATTTGAGTAACTAAAAATAAAAGTTTAAATTTAATTAAATTTTAATATAAAAACCAAACAGGATATATTTTTAAATACTTACTAGAATTTTTTCAAAAAGGAATTTTAAATTATTTTCTATATTTCTTACCAACTTTATTCTACCTTCCTTTTAAATTCCTTTTATATAAAGCTTAAATAATTAAAAATATTAATTATTTATAATTTTTTATTAGTCTGAAATAAAGTAAAGAACTATATATATTTATGCAAAATATTCTGATATTCATCTATGAGTTAATACTGATTAGTTTTTATAATACTTTTTTGTTAAATTTATTTTAGATTAATAATGATTCTTTAATTTTATATAATTATATCATATACTTACTTAATTAGAATTTTAATTACTTTATAATTTTAACCACTCTTTTAAATTTTGCTTAATATTAATATTATATTGCTATAATATCTGTGTTAAATTCTTTTTTGATCTTTTCTATCACTTCTTTTTAAAAAATAACTTTGATTTTCTAAACATAAATTAATATTCTTTGTTTATATTTTCTTTTATTAATTAATAATTAAACTTCATTATTATCTTAATCAATTGTATTTAGTATTTTAATAAATTGAAATTTTGAAAAATTATTAAATTTAATTTTTTAATAATTAAAAAAAATAATAATTTATAAATATAAAATTATATTGATATATATTAGAAATTTAAAATATTTTCAAATGAATAATTTTATAATAAATAATTCTATTTAATTAAAATTATTTAATAATTACAAATTGCAATCATAATTTTATTTTACGTATTATATATAATTCAATTTACAAAATTATTTAATAATTACAATTTTGATAAAATTACTAAATTTTTATATAATTTCAAATTTTTCATTTTTTTAAAAAAATATAATTTTAATGATAATATTCTGATAATCATTACAAATTTACCTTTGATTTATCCTTAGGTTACTACTAATTAAAATTTCTGGATAATTAATAATTTTTTTAAATTTATATGATTTTTAAACTAAAAATTTTACCAATTTTATTATTCTAATTTATATTTAATAAGAATTTTATTTTATTTTATTTTTTTAAAAAGTTAGTTAAATTGGATATTATTAAAATATTATTTTAAGTAATTAATATTAAATTAATATATTTAAATATAAAATGTTAAAATTTTAATTACACTATGTTAAATATTCAATTAATATATTTTTTATTCAATATGTCAAATAACAAAAATACTAATATAATCTTTAAAAAATAGAAGAAGACTTTGACTTTAATTTTGATGATGATACAAATAAATTATTTATTTCTAAATAATAAAAGGAAGATAATATAAATATACTTAATATTGATAAGAATAAAGAAAAACTTCTTCAACTGTTTAGGAATATATATATAAAAGTATAATAATATAAATAAAATAATAGCAATAATTTGTAATTTATATAAAAAGAGTATAGTCTTAGTATTAATGTAGCCTCTAATAGATTATATATCTAAGAAATATAAATGTAATATTTTAATAAAGCAATAAACATGATTTTATTTTGTTAAAAATTCATATAGTAAATTTAATATAATAAGAATTAAAGATTATATAAATATCATTATTGATTTTGTTGTTAGATTGTAATTATTGAAGGAGTCAACAAAGAATCAGGATTCAAATACCATTTTTATTGTAAAAAGTTTTTGGTTTAAAAAAATATATAATATTTTATATTAAAAATATATTTTACCATTATGTCAATATTTGCAAAATAAATAAATAATAAATTTACAGATTATTATTCTTTAATTGTAAATGAACTTAAAAATCTCTTAACAAAAGTATTTCTTATTACTAATATTTTAACTTTAATTACAAATTAAGCTTATCTATAAAGATCTTGAATAATATATAAATAGTAATAAGATTATTTATGCTATTTGGCTAAAGTTAAAGGTTAGATTTACGTAAAATTAATAAAATTTATAGCTAATATCATATTTTTTATTTGCTTAATTTTGACAGAGCCTTCTTTTTTGGCGTAATTTCAACTACAAACTTATCCACATTTTCAATTTCAACGGGTTTGTTCACTGACTTAACTGTTTTTAAAACATCGCACTGTAATAATAAAACAAAACTCTATCAGTATCCTACTAGGACCTCTATGAATACTAATTACCAATTTGTTACCTGAAAGTCCATTAGCATTTTCATGTCCATAGAAAATTGTTCTATGTCATCAAAGGAGGTTGGGATTTTAATGCACACAAACTCTTCGTAAAGATATACTGAGGGGAGGGGTCGAACCATAAATCGTATATGGATTTGTCCATCTTAAAGGAAAAAAAATTATGTAAAGCTAAAAGGAATATGCAAAACCATAACTTTTCCTTTACCATATTGTGATACTTACTAACGCATTGAATCGTGTATACACGTGCCTTCTTACAAGGGACTGAATCTAATAGTTTGTTTAGGATTCGGGTCGCATTTCGAGCAAGCTTCACGTCATCGCTAATTTCCTTATTTTCGGGAGCCAATTTACCGTAGGAGAATTCAACAATACATATCGTCTGATGTTCTTTCTTTCTCATTTTGATAACTTTTAAAGCACCGTCTATTTTTCGTTTATTTGTATCTTTGGTAAGTATCTCAAGCCTGTATCAAATAAAAAGAAATTAATAAGCAATATAAACTGTTATGAATTAAAATTGAACTTACCATGTCCGTTCTAGAACGTCTTGATGCATTCGGAAGAGCCGGTTTATAACATATATTGTTGTATCGATCGCATACGTTCTTTCTAAACCCGACTCATTTGACTCTGAATTATTTGGTGCTTCTAAACGTACAGAACTATTTATTATGATTGATGTTAGCCATATCTTCTAGCACATCTTTAGAAACAAGGAAAACCTACAAATGTTTCATGATATCATGCACAATGTCGTATCCTTCGTGAAGAAATGGATCAAAATATTCTTCAATAAAAGATTTTCGAACTAAACTTGGAATTTTGACTCGGTTACAGGCATCATCTGTGAATTGATCACAGTAATTTTTAAATTCAGGCGTTGGAATCCAAGCCTGTTTCTCTAATACTTTATTGAGATATAGCTTTTGATCAAGATTCAATGTAGATAGTGTTTCGTGCTTCATTTCATTATCAGTTAGATCAATGATGTTATTAAGAAAATTAGAATCCATAAAAGTCTTTCCTAATGAATGGTCTTTGGATTTGAATTTATTAAGAATTCCAATTAGGGTTTTTCGAAGCAACACTTCATCTGGTTGTAGTGATTTCAACTGGAAGATTGAGCAAAAATAAGTATACTTTTTAAATATAGAATAATGTATAAAGCAGAAGGCATAATACCTCAGGCGAATCGTTAGACAATTCTAATATGAGGTCATTATCCGATTCCGAGATTCCTTGGCTTCACCTTCCGCGAACCCGGGAGAACCTTCCTCAGCCGAACTAGGAGGGGTTTGGACATATCTTGTTCGTTTATTCTGTAACTCTTCATGATCATCCTGTTCTTTTGCCAGAACCTCAGATTCTAACGTGCGCTTTGGTATCCTTATCGTTTCGTTACTAAATTCCATAAAACTATCAGAAACACACTGATGAATTTTCGATACTGCTTCTGCATTATTCCGTAGTTGAGAAACCTGTAACATAATATATATCGAAATTGTTTAGTAAAGATAACGTATTATAGCTATGTTTCGTGAAAAAAACCGGATACCTTGATACGTTCTATCTCAGCAAGCTCAATAACTTTCTCATTTTTATCGATTGCAACTTTCGCTCTGTCTGATATCGATTCTCAAGCTGTTCAAAATACTTCGTTGTTGTTGGTGAGGATTTCCATGCCTGTTATCGTGAAACATGAAAGAAATAATTAAACTTGGCCAAATAATACATAAACAAAATCAAACCCTCATTATTTAAAGAGCATAAAAGGCCATGACGAACTAACAGTCCAACACATGGTAACTAACAGTCCCAGTGTTTCACAAGAGGCTGAAGAGAAGGACAGACTAACAGTCGATCTTCCAGTTGACTAACAGTCCCCTGGCTCAGTCCATATCTCCATTACCTCTTCAGATTTGTAGCAACAGAAACAACTAACAGTCACTTCATGATGCATATAATCCTATCCTAGGCATATGCTATTCATATATGACATTCACCTGAAATTCCTTGCGAAGATCTTTTGCCTTTTGTCGTATGTCCTCCTTAATCAACTTGTTATTATCAGTTTTCTCAAGTCGTTTCTTTATGTGATCAAGAATCTTCACTTTGTCACCTTTAAGCTTCTCACACGAACCGCACCAAGAAACAAAATCGTCGAGATTCCACAGCTCCGGTTAAGTAATTTGTAGATAGTCGTCCATCTCAACAACCTTCATAATTGTCTGATAACGGAGAAGAGTTACGTGACGACTTACGTGATTATGATCATATTTTTATATGGTGATTGTGTAACACTCGATCACTATTACGATGCTATTACGATTTAGGGCGTTCTCACGCATGTAATTGGCTATTGATCGAAGAAATACAATTAATTGAAATATTACACTTTTTTAGCTCCTTTTTTTTCGTTGAAATGGTCACTAATTTCATTTTCGATCCGTGCCTTATACTACAATTAAGTAATTTCGAATCTATGGATAAATTCGGGAGATTAGCAACTGAGGTAAAAAAAAATATTTCCAATTCATACTTACCATTATTATTAATTTTCGCAACATTACATTCCGCCTGAAATTTATTACTCAATGCATTACAATAAAGGTAATTCGATTTTTTTATTGCCGGTACGATACTGTGCCAAATACCAAGAATTTGACACGTTATTATGGAAAATTTATTAGACACACTGCGCCAAATTTTGTTGAGAAGCGTGATGTTAAGGCATGTGACGAAATTCATGTGAATAGTTTCACTGCGTCTATTGTATGCGTGATGATTGTCAAAGATTTTCTCGGCAAAGATCAGAATGGCGATACATAGCAAGAAGAGTAATATATCCGTTTTATTTTGGAACATCTATAGGGACAGGAAAATTGATTAACATCATGATGACATGTCTCAAGAAGCTAACCGAGCAATAAAATCAACATACCTTATTATTGTTTTGCGGAATATACAAGTTCGTTTGATCAAGAATATTAATGATGTAAATAATGGTATGTTAGATTGGTTTTGATTTTCGTTTTACTTGCACAAGGCGGATAAAAGGATTCATTAACCAGGTCATCACCTTTTTATATAATTCACAGAATCGATTTTGTTATACGCTTTTGGGAAAATTACGTTAATATGATCGCATCACGAAAATCTGATCAATGGACTTTCCTTAATTTAACAATAAAAGAATTTAACGCTATCCATATATAAAGATCATCAAGGGGTTCTTTTACAATAATATACGTAATAATTTTGAGAATATGTGAGAAAGTTTGAGAATAAAAGTCCATGGATCTTTGCTGGCAATTTTAATTTGCTGATCCAGATTTTCTAAATTACCCTGTATTAACATGCATATACGCTCGAGCATAAAAAATTAATATGTACAGTCTAAAAATTATTACCAATCACCACGAGAAAAATATTTGACTACATTGCTCAGGTCACTTAGTGCCCTAAACGTTTTTTATTCGCAATACATTGAGTTAAGATAAATTACATGGTGCGGGACTAGCCTTGGGTATATGATGTCATTCTATGATTGTAGACTATTATTATACATGATTATTTTTTTGAACGATATTAGCTTTTTTTCTTTGAGGCAAAGTTCTAGACGTAGTCCATGATACATGCTATGTCATATGCACACTTCCAACGGGATCTACCAGTTAATCATATGATAAACGTTAATTTCAATGAAAAATCTCGGTAAGAATTTTCCCGATATCAATTGCGCACATAATGAAGTTTCTTTCCCAAGTGATTCGAAAAAAATAAACTTATAAGATAATCCAGTACTAAAATATGTGATAATTCTCCTAGGCGGTCACCAGAGAGATAATAGGATTCATCATTGGTGATGTTTTCCTTTCATATTTTCCATCACAATAATAGTAACCTTTATCATAATCACCGTATCTATTATCATACCTATCATCATCATCCGATCCATATGGTATCTCTTCTTCAGAATCATTGTCATGACTACAGTCACTATCATCATCTGTTAGCTTTGCTAACATCTTTGGCACCTTTTTATTCGCTCCTTTCACTTCTCCATCTTCAGAATAAAAATACTCATCGTCATTATTGTCTGCCTTAGCTGAAGCGATTTGAGATGTGGATGATGAATTTTCTTCAGATATGGGCAAGATTTTTTCAGGACAGACCATCTCAGAAATTTCGGTCACTTGATCTGTAGGTAACTTTTCCAAAGATATTCCATAATCTATAATCTCTTGAATTTGCTCATTAGTAAGCTCTGAAAGAGAATTCGCATTATAAGAATTGATATACTTGATCTTATCTAGACCCATTATTTCGAAAAATTTATAGTTTTTCTCAGCTCTCTAGGTTTTCTTACGCAAGCTATCCCATGATACGTTCTGAAGTTGCATCCCCAGTTCTTGTGATCTTTTCTTGCAGAGAATAGAAAGCTGTTTTGTGATAGTATCATAAAGAATACTTCTTGCCTTCTTTTCACCAAATTTTCCATCCCCGCTTTTGATAATCTCATCAAGCTGATTTCTGAAATCCTTCCAGTAGAGGCACCAACATAGAATTTCTTCCTGATTAGCTTGATTTGCTCTATCTTCAGCATTGATAGCTTTATCACATAATTGAGCTAGATGATATGAAGCTTCATCAATATTATCATGGGTAACTTTTTTACATATAAAAATTTCAGTCATATTATTTGGACTATCTGATCCCAAAAGGGGATTGAATAATTCATGCTTGAGTTTATCCATTCCTTTTTTCTTATGTGATCTATTATTCCTAGCAATTCCATTTTGATTATAGATCACTGGATCAGAGGTAGGAGACTTAAGTGAACTTAGATCGACGTTTTCACTGACTTCAGATGTTGAATTATTACATAGTTGGATAATCGAGTTGTGCTCTTGAGGTATTTTCTCTTCAGGATGGGACTCTTGGGCTTGAAGTTTCTTTTCCTGATTTCTCTACCTAATCTCATCGCTAACATTTTTCTTATACATCTCATCCAAGTAAGTATTTATCTCCATTTCTTTTGATAACTTGAAATTGGCAGGTGAAACTTTCTGGTATTGGTTCTTTGGGTAATGATGTATCAAAATTGCAGTTAGGAGAGCTAATGTTAGGAGAATCAGTTATCATAGTAGCATTATTTCCCTTTGAATCATTTTGCATCAACCTGTAATCCTCCTCCAATTTTGCAACTCTAGCTTTAAGTTTAGCATTCTCAGACATAAGTTTAGGGGTAACTCCATTATTTTTTTCTAACTCTTCGATTCTAGTCTTAAGTTCAGCATCCTTAGCTTCAAGTTCAGCTTTCTCAGCCTTAATCTTAGAGTTCTCAGCTTTTAGATTAATGATACGTTATCTTATTACTTCAAGCTCAGATGGGTTAGCTTCGTTATCTGACATGATCAATAATAATTTTATATTATGAAAGGAATTGTTCAATGTTCTGAAATTACCAAAAAATTTTTGGGACAGGTCATCTCAGAAAACGTCAAGTATTTTTTTCTCATAAATCCTTTTTTCTCATAAAGTTAGTTCAAAAAATAAAAAGCTATCTATCGCTAAAAAATGTAAAATCTGTTCTAGTAGTTCTGGTAAATAAAAGATGCTTAATTGCGCCATATATAGTGCATATTATATATTGTATCTTCAAACAAAAAAAAATTACGCGATCACTGCTCTGGACTAGTTAGATTATTCAAACTCAGAGCTAGAAGATTTCAAATTGTAACAGTAATCTTCATCAAAATCAATATGAATATTTGGATTTAGCTGGTCCATGGCTTTCTTGCTAATATTTTCACATCCTTCCAAATCTAGAGATTTTAAATTGAGACATGAGCGAGCAATTTCTTTGATAGTCATACTGGTAATATTACAGCAACTAAGGTTAAGATGTTGGAGCTTTGAACAGAAACGTATAACATTACAAATTAATGGTTCACTGACAAATTTACAGCAATCCAGATTGAGACATTCTAATTTATGACAAGTATGAATCAGTGCTTCAGTAACCTCATCACCAATATCATTATAACTGATATCTAAATGTCTTAAATTCGGAGATGCTCTGATAATGGTTATAATCAATTCATCATTTCACAACACTATAGCCTCACTAAAGTCAAGATACTCTATTTTGAAGTGTCTTCGCATTAAAATACTAGCATCTTAAACATCTCCCTTACTATATGCAATATCAAGATTTTGTAAATTTAGGCATGAGTTTAAAATGCAACTTATAGATTTATCTGAATCCTAACACACTTCGGCAAAATGAAACACTTGTAAATCATAGCAATTTTTTACGATTTTGAACAAAGATTTATTGGTAATATTTCTGTAGTAAGAAATATTTAGATGTTCTAATTTACAGCATAATCGTATGATCGCACATAAATCTTTATCAGTTATTGCTTGAGCATCTCACAAATTGAGATATCTTAAATTAGAATATAATTCCGCTATTATAAATAGTGATTTATCACTAAAACCTATATTGTAATAGGATTGGATTGATATACGTAGCGCAGTATATTGCAGATCTAAATGTTAGACATATCGAACATATTTGATATATTTGATATATTTGATATACTGAATATATTTGATATAATTGATATCTTGAACATATCTGACATATTAGATATATTTGATTTATTTGTTATATCCATCTATGTATTAAATTAATATAAATAGGGAGCAATAGAATCATGTAAATAGTAGTTCACTTTTGGTTCACTTTTAGTTTTCCTTTAGTTTTATTTTTTAGATCAACATCTAGTAGTTCTTGTAGAGGCGTCTAGTCTAACATCTCACTTAGTACTCTAACTCTTTTGATTTCTTTTCGTATTCTTTCTTATTTTCTTATTTTCTTATTTTCTTATTTTCTTATTATTATCTTTTATCTTTATTTTTATTATTGTTAATAAACATATTATTATACCTCTGAATCAATCGAGCTACCTTGCTTTTAATAAATACACTACCATATAGATAATAAATCTTGAGATAAATTAAATTGAGTTACTACGTAAACTTAAAAGAATCACCACTTGAACACCCCGTCTAACAGTCGCAATTTGCAAGAATTGCACGTTAACAATACTATCTTTTAAATCTAAATGAATTATATTCAGAAATGTATTCACAATACTTTTTATTTTTTTATCTGAAAATAAATGGTAATAAGTAATTTCTAGATGAGTTACATTTGAGACATAAGCTGGTTTATTCTTTTCACACATTATTTTTACAAATTTTTCCAATCAAAAACGATTATTAACATTATAGCCATACCTCTGGTTATTTTCCTTTAACTCAATGCGTCTCCATAAAATAAGACTACCACATCTATACCAAAACCAGCAAACAAATAGGGTAGGATACCAGTGTCTTATCTACTGCTAGGAAATATAGAATCTGCTCTAATAGTTCTGGTATAATAAAAATACTTGAATACGCTATAAATAATATATGCTGTATCTTTAATCGAAAAAAAATAGTCATTAAGGCGCTTTGCAAAATTACACATATTGATGACCACTGCTTTGAATAATCATTATTCTGCATTAGGTTCATTTTTTACTTCTTTGAATAAGATCGCAAAATTATCGTCTAATAATAGTTTTGAATCGCATATATCTAAAGTTGCACCATTTTCTCAAAACCAAGGTCCTTTTAAAATTAAATCAGATCCCGGCCAATCTGGTCCAGGAATTATAAATTCAACAAGTGTGCTTTTGTGCTTCTCACCATCTTCAAAACCAATATGCAGATTGACTTTTCCTAATGTGAAATAGGATGCATCTGGAGTTACAATGCTATTGCTTTCACTGTGATTTGTAATTTCTAATTCATCAATATGTTTTTGGCTAATGCAATTTACATCGGCACCTATATCAATTGATGCCTCAATAGGGATATTTTTTTCGACTACATAATTCACAAATACCATTTTATTATGGCATATATAATATTCAAATATAAAAAATAAACCTCTATCATTGCTCTGGACTCCCATTTATCAGATAGCTAATTAGCCTTATTTTTATTATATACATTTTTCTCCTAATCTTTCCTTTGGCTTGACGCTTCTGAATTCTTTGATGCTTAATTATATTTACTATTTCATCAATATCAGAATCAGATGAACTGGATTCAGATGAGCTAGTCTTAGAGGAACTACTCTTAAAAGAACTTGATTCAGATGAACTAGTCTCAGAAGAACTACTCTCGGATGATGAACTAGACTCAGAAAAACTTGATTCAGATGAACTAGCCTTGAATGAAGTAGACTTAGGCAGGATATTGGTTAAGGCTGTCAGATGCTTCACCCTAAGTGCTTTGGCTGGTCACTTTCCATTTTGATTATTTATCTGATAAACTTAATAACTTTGACTGAAAAAATATGCAAAGTGTCTGACTCGATCCACTTTAAACTACCATCTACTTAACCCTTCTTAGTTGTGCCCTCCTTCATTACTTATGAGAGACAGCCTCTTACCCCAATTATCTTAACCAAATCAGATTCTTCAGAAGACTTAAATGAATAGGAGAACACTTACATTTTTTGATATTTAGCGAGGAAACTATTTCTTGTATTAAGTCGACTACAGTTTTCCTATCCACATATTCATCTAAATCTTTTAATTCAGTCTCTAAGAACTTTACATCTTTCTCTAATCTTTTTACTCTCTTTTCTAAGATGTTGTGTTTGGAATGATAATCTTCCAATTGTTTCTTTAGTGCCCTATTTTCTCCAGAAAGTGCACTATATACTTCTGCATTTTGCTCGTTTAGTCTAAATGCCTGGATTAATATCTTTGTATATTTGATATCTTCCTGCTCAATAGGCATACTATCAGATGAATGCTTTTGATCAGTTATCATTTTCGTAATATATTCTATATACTAGATCTTAAGCGAACGAAAAAAAAATAAAATTAATAAATGATGTCTAACCTATATATGTGATTAGTTTTTGTCAAAGAGTTTAAAGACCATTGTCTGATCATAAGGCTGTCCTCTTTTTCGCATATTTATTATAGTATAATTCTATGCTGGTGAAGTGTTATTATCAGGACTGTGTTTTAATGCTTGCCTAGCAATAGTTATAGCATGCGATAAATTCTTCGCATCATTTGATACGATTGCAAATACTACC